CAACTGGGGCCCGCTGCATCGGCGACGCGTTGGGCGCAGCCCCGGCACAGCGAGTGGCGGCAAGGAATGGCCGTTGCTTCCCCCGGGGTCTCGAGGCACCCGGCGCAGCCCGACTCCTCCGACCGCGGCGGTGGCGGCTGCAGCAACGGCGGCGGCAACACCAGCAGCGCGGGGCCAGAGGCCGGGATCGAGGCCCCAGTCTTGGCTGCCGCCTTCTCATCACAGCGGCCCCGCCGGCCCCGCCGACTCAGAGCTGCTGCTGCCGCCGCGGAAGAGGCCCGAGTACTCGGACCTGCCGCCGCCATCTTGTTTCCCGTTTGAGGGGAGAGTCCGTTGCGAGGGAGAAGAGTAGAGGGCGGGGCAGTGCGCGGCGGGCAGCGCTATCTACATATTCACGAGGGGGCGGGGTTCCAGTGAGCCCGAGGAAGGTTCTCCCCGGACCTGGTTGGCGGTAGGTGAAATCTTATTAATATTTGTTAGCTCTACTTTGCGTACCTGTTTTCAGCTTCTTTCTCCAGTCTTTGCAATTTCCTTTTATTGAACCAAATGAAGGTGAGAACTGAGGGGTTTATTTGGAAAATCTGAGCGATATTAAACTTTATGGAGTAATTACACTTATTTACCCCTCAAGACCCTGATGACTGAAGCTAAAGTGAATGGAGAGCATGTAAATTATCCAGAACCCTATTTGATGTGAGGATAGCTATCGTGACCAAAAACTAACTGCCAAAAATAACTTCTTGTCATTCCTCACGTCCACATCCCTTTCTGAAAACTCCTCCCCTGGCTGGCAAAACCATATTTTCCTGGTTTTTCCCATTCCCTCGGCTCATTCTCCGACTCCTTCCTTGAGCCCCTCTCTTCCTGTTTTGGTCTTAAATGTGGGTGTTCATCTAGGCTCAGGCCTCAGGCTTCTCTCACTTTGCCTGTTCCCCTCACCTCCACGTCACACTTTCTTGCAGCTGAAACTCCCGAATTGATATCCGTAGTCTAGACCTCCCATGTCCAGCTCTACATATTCAGCTGCCTGATGGAAACATCTTGGATGGCTGCATTCCACATGTGCAAAACAAGTCATTGCCTTCTATCCTCTTTTCAAAACAGCTCTTCTCATTTTCCTCATTCTATTGAAGATACTATCCTTCCAGTTCATCAAGCTCCAAATCTAATGATCTTTACTTCTCCCTCATTTCCCACATCTGTCAGTATCTTAGTCCTGTCAGTTCTCCCCGCAAAATGACTATTTTCCCTCCTATTCTCTCCTCTTCATCCCTCTCTCATTGCCCAATTCAAGTCTCATCATCTCTCACCTAGATTACTGCAGTAGCTTAAATAGACTATCTCTCTGCCTATAGCCTCTCTTCCTCCAATCCATCCTCCATAGCTCTTAGAACTTCTCCCTAAAGAACAGCTCTGACATGTCATCCGTGCTTGGTCTAGTCACCAGGCAAGGTGCTCAGAATTTGATGCCAGCCCCCTTTCTGGATGCACAGAGTATGGGAGAAAGAATAGCTACCCCCTGATAGAGATATTTCTGCTATAGCAGTTCTCACACCATTTTCTTTGCACTAAGGTAGTTTTGGAGCAGGAAGGCCTTAAGCAAATGGCATTTCCTGTTGGGAATCTTTATAGAAAAACCCAAGTTTTGTAGGGAGAACAAAGTCAAAAAAGCAGCCTAATGTAATGAAAGGCGTCAGAGGTCCTGGGTTTCCATGAGGTCACCTGGAAATAGTGCCTGAGGTGCTGATAAACCAATCTCAAGGTGGAGTGATTGGTGGAAGTCGAAGAACTGAAAAAAGAAAGAAGTGGATTCCCAAGATGAGAACCAGATGGCTGAAGAACAGTCAAAAATTGAAGAAGGGTCAATGAATAATTGAAACAAGGACTTGTGTTTACAGAGGCCCAGACATTTAGAATCCTGCCAAACACAGCCTCAGCTGGACTGCCCTTTATCCAGAGGTCCTCCTCATTTCTCTCCCCACTTGAGGTTCTTGAGGATGCTTTGCCCAAATTCTGACAAGGTAGGTCTGTGGACCAAGCTAACTACTATTAGAAACAGGGCCCTTGGGGTGGACTATTCACTCTTAACAGTTTGGAGTTCTTAATCTGAAACCTATTAACTGTTGGAGGAGCTGAACCATAGAAATGTAGCATGCTTTCTTGGATTCAAATAACGACAGGAAATTTCCTTTTGCAGAGGGAAAAAGCAAGAAGTCTGAATAGCACTGGACCAAAAGCCAGGAGATCTGAGATTGGTCCTGGTCCCTTTCCCCCTTTCATTAACTCATCACGTGTGATTTCAAATAGGTAACTTTTCTCTGGGCCTCAGTCTCCTCATCTTTAAAACTGGGTGCTGGAATTCAGTAGTTCTCAATCTGGGACACACCTCAGAAAGACACACACACACCCCCCAAAGCCCTACCTCAGATCTACTGAACCCAAAATATGAGGGTGGGATGCCAGCATGTGTTTTGTTTTGTTTTTAATGCCATAGGAATTCTAATAAATATTCTAGATAAGACTGTTACAATAAATTCAAAGGTCTCTTCTAGTTCTAACATTCTAGAAGTCCGACTCCCAATTTCTAGTCCCTTCTCTCCTCCTTTGGTGTTGCCAAAGTAATCCTACTAAAGCAGTAGCAGGGACAGAAGGCAAAGCAAATCTAAGTAATCTGTGTAGGAAAATGAGGGAAAAGAGGATGATTCTAAAGTGTGAAGCCTAGGAGCCTGAGATTATGATCACAATTGACAACTAACAAAAACAATAACTAGAAAGGAAAAGCGGTCTGAAAAATGAGGTCATGGTAAATATTTTGTTTTGTTTAGTTTGCCATTGGCATCTAAATCTTCCTACTTGAGAGAATGCCCCATTTTATGTAGTATTGCTGACTACAAGAACCAAAGCAAAGAGATACTCTTCTCCCTACCCCCTAGCAGCCAGAACATGGCATGTGGCCTGGCTTAGCCACTTGGCAACTCCTCTCTGAACTTTGGATCTTCAGGGAATGATACAAAGACATATTTCCAAATTTAGAATTATTCACAGCAACAGTGACACTAGGTGTCCAACCACAGTGGGTCCCTTGGGAGTTGGGTATGGGAGGGTGGTGTCCCTACTATGGTGATGGTGACCATGCCAGATTGTTCCCAAGGTATGAACTTGGTTGTGGTGCCTGCTGCCTGGCCTTCCTAAGTTACCACCCATTTTCCATATCTGACTCTCCAGCCTTCCTGTCAACTCTTTGCATCCTTTCAGCAAATTTCTTGTTTTCTTAAATTACAAATTCTGTTGTTTGCATCACGGTACTCTGAGACATTGTTTTATTGTTTTTGAAGTGTCAGCTGAAAATGGTTGTCAGGGTTGTTTTGTAAGTTATAAAATGATCTGAGCAGCTTAGTCTGAAAGCCTAGAGTAGAACTAGCTCGAGTGTTATGCGTTGCTTTTTTTTTCTGTGCCCCCACCTGTATCACAGACCATCAAGAGAAGAGGGACTCACAGGCTCAATGCAGTCATGCAGGATGCCAACTGGAACAAATAGTGGTAAAGCCACACCTACCAAGGCTTCCTCTCCAGCTGCTTTTGTTCTGCCCCTCCTGCCATACTTTCTGAGGATTGCATTGCCAAAATTCCCTACCATCTTTCTCTGCATAGGTAGCTCTCCCTGGTCCATGTGACCATTATCCCTTAAGCATTCATCCATATCACTACAAACCTTCACTCCTCGCTCCAGCTGGAGGCGCCAGCTTCTCCCTACTGGACTGAAAAATGCTGATGCAAGGCTGTTCCTCCTCCTTCCAGGTGGAAACAGGCTATTTCTCCCTGCAGATCCAACCACCCTTTCTTGCCAACCGAGGCACTGAGTCCATCCTGAGACCTCACACATCTAGGAAGGAAGAGGCTCAGCCCCATAGGCCGCACCAGTACCACCTCTCCTTTACCCTCTTCCCCTCTTCTGGTGGCATCTTCTTCCTGTTCTCTTCTTCCCTCGAGCCAGATTTCCCCTTGAGATTTAGTCCCTTCTCTTATGCTTTAAAGATTCTCGCTACATCCTTACTATCACTCATCTTCAGTTCCTTCCCTTTTGTTTCAGAGGAAGAACTAGTTCTTTTTGCAAAGTTAACCCTTCAACCTGTCATTTTTTCAGCCTCCTCCATATTCTTTCCAAACATTGTGCAAACACAAATAAGACTTTCTCCCTGCCTCCCTCAAGGTCACAGTCTAACAGGCAACAGTGTTAATAAATAATTATAACAGAAAAAAAAGAATTATAACAGAATTACAAGCTCCATAACAACCACATACGAGGTGCTATGGAAGCAGAGAGTTGGCCGGGGGCGGCGGGGTAGCGGGGAGGTGTGTTGGAAAATGCTTCACAGGGGAGGGGACATTTGAGCTCTGTTTTGAAGGATGAGGAGGAGTTCACCAGGTAGACCAGGGAAGGCACTCCAGGTAAAGGGAAAACAAGCAGAGGCACAAAGATATAAAAGTTTAGGATCTGAGTGACACTGATAAGAAATTCGAAGTGGCTATAACATTGGGTTGGACATGACGCTAGAAAATTAGAGAAGCAAATGAACTAGAATTTATTAAGCAGCTACCACATGCTAGGCACATACTAAGCAATAACATATCTCATTTAAACCTGAAGTCACCCTGTGAAGTTGGTATATTATCTCAGGATATTGAGGGAACATTAAATTATTTAATATTTAGATCAAGAGAATGTTACATATAGATTTATATTTTATAAGAATAATTCTTTATTCTATAATTATCAGTGAGGAGTAAAAATAATTTAAGCAGACTTCGTCCCACTCCATGGAGTTGAGATATCATTGGAGAAAGTACATGCAGCTAACATTCATTTATTCAACAACTATGTGTTGAGCACCTACTATGTGACAGGATAATTATAGGTGCTGAGAATTCAGCAGTGAATGAGGCAAGCGAGGTATGGATGCTAAGCCAGTTTTGGTTTGCCCAGCTTTAGGTACAATGTTTGGCATATTCCAGCTGCTGTGGAATAAATGGATATTATCCCCTTAATTATGCCTTTAATGTTTAGCACGGTTCAAAGTACAGTACATTGTCAGAAAAAACAAAGTTCTGTTTAACAAGCACATTGGTGGAGAAAATAGTTATTTAATTTCTTTAAATTTAGATATCCATAAATCCACCTAGAATCTCTATCTCTTCACCTCCCTCCCATCCCCTTGGTCTTTCTTCCTCTCTTCCCTACCCTCAGAGTCCATTATCCTTTTTTCTCTAGGCTCTGGCCAGAGTTTTCAATCCCTGGAAACCAATTCATTCTTTGATTTAGTTGTTCTTTTTCTTGAGGGGATAGAGATGGCTTTAAGAAGCCTTTTAAGTCCAACATATAGAGAATAAGGAAAT